ACTTCCATACTGATACTGCCTCGGAAACCCAAGGAGGGGTCGCTATGAGTCGGGTCTGACTCGATGGCACATAACAACAACAACAACAAAGTATTTATTAAGAGTTTGACTATTGCTCAACACTTCTCTGTTACTGCCTGGCCCCAGGAACCATTATCTCAATCTTACTTATTACTGTATCCTCTTAGCTTGTCTCTGTTCTTTTATCCTCCTTGAATCTAATTTCACTATAGGAGCCAGAGTGATTTGGCAGTAGCCAAATATCATTTTTCTTCAAAATTTTACAATACTTTTTAACACACTAAGAATAAAGGCCAACACCCTTAAAAGAACCGAGGTACAATATCATCTTTCCCTCTCTCCTTTTCCTCTGAGACCTTTCCCTAACCGGTCTTCCCGCCATGTGCACTGTTTTGGTCACAGTGCTCTCTTCACTCCTCCCTCGGAACATCAGTTCTGATACTGCTCAGACCTTTCCTGCCTGCTCTTCTTCATCCTGAACTTTTCCTCCCTCCAACAACTGCATGATATTTCTTATCTCTTTCTGATAAGACCATCCTTTACTGTCACGTTTAAAATGAATCTGCCTCATCACTCTTCCATAGGAGTTATCTGCAACAAACATTCTATATATTTTTCTTACTCTTTTTCTTGTCTGTTTACCCGTTTCACACAAGTTCTATGAAGAGACGTTACAAATGATAAATAACTTGTTCATATTTACTCAACTAGTTAATGGCATCCTACAGTTTGACCCCACATTCTCAGCCAACCCTCTAAGATATGAATTTTTCCTACAAAATCACATTTAATACACTTACCAGATTTGAATAAATGTAATTAATTCCTTTATTAAGTCTAAGAAATAAGAAAAATTGTAGCGGTCTTTGAGAGTTGTGTGCTGTTGACAAAGTCTCCAAATCCGCTGATAGAATGCTATATGATTTTGGCAACAGTAGATATATTATCCCAAATATGCAAGTACTTCCAACTTAGAGAAAGAAACACTATGGGGCAATTTCACTCTGTCTTATTGGGTTACTATGAGTAGGAATTGACTCTATGGCAATGGTTAATATGCTCAGAGATGTAAAATTTCATTGGCACACTGAATATAAAAGAAATGTTAAAAGAACAAACAGAACTCCTAAAATTTAAATATACTAGCATAAATTGAACATGATTAGAGATTTAGAATGAAACTTAAATGTCTCACAAAAAAACAAAGCAAACGATGACAAATTCCAAACAACAATAGAGGTCCATCCTACCAGCTCCAGCATCTGAGCAGGAGCTTCGAAAAGAGACATTACAAAATGTGAGAGAGAGTTACCAAAGAAATGATTAGACACATGTGAGGACCACAGGACATGGTTTCCCATGTGCCTGGCACAATAGATGAAATCTGACAGGGGATAATTGTCATAAAACTTTAGAAGACCAAGGGAAAGGGAAAACCCTAAAAGTTTCTAAAGAGAAAGGTGTGGTGTCATAGAAAGAATCAGTCAGAATATCTCAGGTTTCCTCAGAGTCTTCAACAATAATATCCATAAAACAAAAGGAAGAATTCCCAAACTTTTATTCATGTAGAACAGTGACATCACTGGGTCGGTGTCACCCAGAGCAGTAATGCACTGCACCCTGAGAAGGGCCACTGTGAGTAGGACCAGCCAGTGAACCGCCACCATCTCCCCATGGGCAGAGCGGCCACCCCTCCTGGCCCCTACCCCAGCAGCTCTCTGCAGTTCCTTGCTTTTCCTGTTAGACAAGTGAGGGAAACTTCCTCTCTGTCCAGTAGTGGGCACTGGGGCCCACACACTGTGTGGATGATAGGGATTGTGTGCAGATAGTGGTGGAGCATTGGGTCAATGAGGTAGGGGTTAAGGGGGGGATGTGACAGTTACTACCCTGGATGATCAAAAAGAAAAAAAGAGAAGACAAAAATTACTAATATCAGAAAGGAAAGAAGGAATATCACACAAGTCTTCAAATGTATTAAAGGGATGAAGAGAAAATATTATAAATGTCTGATTGCTAAAATATTTGATAATTTAGATGAAATGGACACTTCTTAAAAGGTTCATACCAAAAAAAAAAGGGGGGTAACCATTAATTAGGTCACATCTTGTTGTTGTTATGTGCCATCGAGTCGGATCCAACCCATAGCGACCACTCCTTGGGTTTCTGAGGCAGTATCATTACAGAAGTAGATTGCCCCATCTTCCTTCCGAGGAGTGGCTGGTGGGTTTGAACTGCCAACCTTCTGGTTAGCAGTCAAGTGCCTTAGCCACTATGCTACCAGAGCTCCTAGGAAAATCAAATTAGACTTTTAAAAACTATCTAGAATGTGCTATCAGTAAGGATGTCAGGGCTTTCAGACTGTATACCTTCATGCTGTCAAGAGGGTGTGACACCAAAATGACCCCAGGGTACACAGCTGGAATAGTTGGCGACAGGCTAGCTCTATTGGGGGAGGAGCCACCAAGCCAGCAGTATCACTAGGAGTTGATGTCACTCATCACCCAGTGGAAATTCACCACCCCCACTCCAGAACCCAAGTAGGTCTTGTGGCTGCTCCATGTTTTAGCCTATTAGAATTCTTACTTGTTTTCTTACATAGTATTAATTCAATACATTTATTTAAATCAATGACTTAACTACTTTCCACAAATTAGAAAGTATTCTACATTCATTTTCATTCAAATAAAAATATATCCTACTTCCCTTTATGATTGTCTCTTTGACTCATGGAATATTTAGAAATCTATTTTTCCATTAACCATTTGCAACATCCAGGGACAAATTATAAAATATATGAAGCAAATATCAGTAGTGATTTGTATATTGATTTGGTCAATTACTGAGAGAGGAATATGCAAATCTCCATTTATAATTGTGTACTTATATGTTGTTTTGTCAATCTAAATTACCCCAAACTATTCCCCCCACCCTGTTTAAAACAGATACTCAGATAAGACCCCAGATGGGAATAGATAAGTAAACTAAATTACCCCCAACTATTTCCCCACCCTGGACAGATAAGTATTCAGTTCCTTAAAGAACTAAATGGAAAACATTCTTTCCTGAAGGTGATAAACACTCTAAAAGTGTCTTAGAAACAACTTGTAAATTAACTCTGGCACCCAGACATGCTCAATATGTTAGTGCCTAACAGCTCTAGGCACTATGCTACAAGAGCTCCACAACATATAGTAGCCAGTGGTGTTTTCTAAGTAGCCAGGGTATTCTCTAAGTTATATCTTCCTTTACTCAATAGGGCAGAAAGGAACAAAAGTTAATCACGGACCCTCTCCCCTCTGCCCAAGCCCCTATCAGCTGATGACAGGAAACTGGTGTAACTCATCAGCCTCTGGGGCAATGGTCCTCCATTTCACACCTCAATTCCTCAACCTTCTGTGAATATGCACAACCCCCTCTCCTGAAACCAACAAAAACGGTATTTGATGGCATCTCGGGGAGTCAGATCTGGGTACTGAACTCTCCCTACTCTTTGCATTGCGCTTTGCAATAAATAATTTTCTCTCCTCTCAATCTCGGTGTGTAAACTGTTTGGGCCTGACTGCGAACTGGGCAGGGACCGGCGTTTGGTCCTATAACAGATACACTTAAGAACTGACCCTTAAAGGAATATTGTTTTAATTACTATGTTCTAAAGTTTGTCTTACAGTGAAGTCATAAGATAGGCGCCACAGGTGGAAAGAGAGTGAGTGTCTTTGAAAGAAATGTAAAGTTTTACACTCAATGACTCTTCAAATAAAGAATTCTTCAAACAAAGACCAAAAAATAAATGAGGTCTTGGCATAAGCAGACAGAAATTAAGTGATGTGGGATCTTATTCATTTTCTGGGCCTTGCTTTTGTGTGTAAACTTTGAGGAAATATGACCAATGCAAGGTTGTTCCTCATATTTAGAGAATGAAGGTACAGATAGGAATTAACTCAATGGTAGCTAACAATCACCACAGAAATTGAAGGAGGATCATTAAAGAATTTCCCAAAAGTGGGCTAGTTTTCACATCTTGGAGAAACCACATATAGCTGTTGTTGTTATGTGCTGTCATGTCGGACCCGACTCATAGGGACCCCTACTTGGGTTTCCAAGACATTATCACTATGGCAGTAGATTGTCCAACCTTCCTTCCGAGAATTGGCTGGTGTGTTTGAACTGCCAGCTTTCTGGTTAGCAGTCAAGTGCTTTAGACACTATGCTACCAGAGCTCCTCTACATATAGTAACCAGCTGTATTTTCTAAGTAGCCACATATAGTAACCAGTTGTATTTTCTAAGTAGCTAGGGTATTCTCTAAATTATGTCTTCATTTACTTACTTATTTATTGACCATTAAATATTCAGTTCAAATCCACCAGCCACTCCTTGAAAGGAAGAAATATTTCTGTAGAAATGTTGTTGTTATTTGCCGTCGAGTAGGCCCCGACTCATAGCTACCCCTCCTTGGGTTTCCGAGGCAGTATCACTACAGAAGTAGGATTGCCCAACCTTCCTTCCGAGGAGTGGCTGGTGGGTTTGAACTGCTAGATTTCTGTTCAGCAGTCAAGTGCTTCTGAAACCCAAGGAAGGGTTGCTATGACCCCAATCAATTCAAAGGCAATGAGTTTTTGTTTTTGTTTTTGTTTTTGTTTTTTTTTTGGTTTAGTCTCAGTATCAAAGAGCTCTGTGGTGCCATGGTTAAGCGCTTGCCTGGTAAATGAAATGTTGGCAGTTGAAACTCACCAGCTGCTCTGTAGTACAAAGATGTGGTAATTTGCTTTTGTAATGATTACAACCTTGGAAGTCTTGGAAGTATAACTGATCAGCTATACTCTGTCCTGTGGATTGCTCTGAGTCAGAATCAACTCTACAGCAATGAGTCAGTCTCACAATTCAATCATTTGAATTGTGACGTTGGTGAGGAATATTAGATATGTCATGGACTGCCAGAAAAAAAAAAAAAAAATCCATCTTGTTGGAAGCACAGCCATAATGCTCCTTGGAAGTGAGAATAGCTAGACGTTGTCTTTCTTACTTTGTACACATTGTAAGGAAAGGTCAATCATTAGGAAAGGACATAATATTTGGTAGGGTAGAGGGTTCACAAAAATGGGGAAACCCTCCCTGAGATGGACTGATATAGTAGCTGCAACAATGGCTCAAACATACCAAAGATAGTGAGGCTAGTGCAGGGCTGGAGACAGTTAATTCTCTTAGACATGAAGTCCCATCAGTGGAGGCTGACATGAAGACAACCTAACAACTAACATCTAAGTGTAAGCATGGGGTCCCTAGAAGGTGAAAATGGTTAATGTGCTCAGCTGATCATCAAAACTTTGGACATTGACTTCATCCAGAGGTGCCTCAAAGAAAAACCTGGTGAGCTACTTTCAAAAAATTAGCCTTTAAATGCCCAATGGAGTACAGCTCTGCTCTGACATGTACGGGGAGCAGGAGTTGAAGGGGACTCAAAAGCAACTCATTTGGTATAGTCTTAATGTATATTTTGTAGCTTCGTAATGAACCTAGCTAATTTTTGACATGGCATAATGTCAAAGAAAAAATTAGTAATAGAATCAAACTCCATGGTCTAGAGCCAAACAGTACAGAAGACATGTTCAGGATATCCATGGATTTGAGTGTGTGAGGGCACAGAGGGCTAGTAAAGTAACCTTTGGGAGGTCCTTCATAAGAATTGTAGAATGAGGAATTAGCTTCCAAAAGGGTGCTGAGGAATTACTTTAAACTATTTATATCAAGTCATATCATTCTGAAGATATCATCATTATAGAAAATGAAAATTATGCCAAACAAATTCTAATCAAGGAATATATAGTCATCAATAAATGGTTAACATGGGTCATTTTGCACATAGCCATAGTCATATAGATGGTAAAATTTATTTGTAGTTCTAAAATTTTATTGGCAGTTTGATTATGATTTACTTGATGATATTCTGAGACATATGGACACTAATAACAAAAAGAGAGATAATTTTCTTTTAATTTGATCAGAAATATGGACTAACATGCAATTTATTTTAGTTTTATTCAGTGCTAAAAATGGACTCTACGATTTCTTTCAAACAATTTTTTCACTGCATTTTTTACATCCTTATTCCTTAAGCTGTAGATGATGGGGTTCAACATGGGAATCACAACTGTGTAAAATACAGACACTATCATGTCATCGTCCAAAGAATAGCTAGAATTTGGCCTCACATATGTGAAGAGGAGGGTTCCATGGTAAATTGACACTCCAGTGAGGTGAGAGCCACAAGTGGAAAACACTTTTCGCCTTCCCTCAACAGAACGCATCCTCAGAATGGCCATCAATATGAAACCATAGGAGATTAGGACAATCAGGATGGTGAATATCTCAATAAAGCCCACCACATAGAAGAGCAGAAGCTGGTTGATGTGAGTGTCAGAACAGGAGAGAGCAAGGAGTGGGGGGATATCACAAAAGACGTGTCTAATTTCATTGGATGCACAGAAGGACAGACGAAAAGTTCCTACTGTGTGTATAACACCATCCAAAAAACCAGCAACATAAGAAGCAATGATGAGTGGCACATAGACTCTGGGTGACATGTTAACCGAGTACAGAAGTGGGTTGTAGATTGCTACATAGCGATCATATGCCATGGCTGCCAAGAGGAAGCATTCTGTGGTCCCAAAAGTTACAAAGAGCAGCATCTGTGTTGCACATCCAAGGAATGTTATGGTTTTATTCTCTGACAAGAAATTGACCAACATTTTTGGGGTGATAACTGAAGAATAGCAAGCATCTAAGACAGATAAGACACTCAGAAAATAGTACATGGGGTTGTGGAGTCTGGAATCTACCACAACTAATAAAACCAGTCCCAAATTTCCTACCAGAGTAAAAATATAGATTGCAAGAAATAGTAAAAAGAGACAGACTTGCAACTGAAAATCGTCTGTGAATCCCAGCAATGTAAACATAGTGACTTCAGTGACATTCTTCACTGGAATCCTGTATGGATCCAGTGCTGATGACAAAACTGACATTTCAGTTGATAGTTATAGGTCCGAAATGCAATGTCCTGATATCCTGTGAAAACAGAGTGCACCCATCTATACCTTCATCATTGTCTTTTAGAAGGTGATAATAACATTATAGACAATGATAGGATTTTTTTTGATAACTGCTTTTGAGTTGACCTTCAACTCATGGCAACTCCATGCACAATGGGATTTAACCATCGTGATCCACAGAGTTCCCATTGGATTAATTTTGGAAGTAGACTACTAGGCCTTACTGCCTAGTCTGCATTAGTCCGGTCACTGGCTGATTTATTCAGCTTCACAGCAAAATCATTTTGCAAGCTTCAAGTTACAATAGACAGTGGTTGCACTTAGGTGCATTGGCTGGTTCCAACCTGGCTTTCTGGCATGGAAGGTGCAAATCCTATCACCGAACCACTTCTGCCTTCCAGAGATGGTAAAGGCAGGGATAAAAGAGTTGGGTCCATGTGGGTATAATTCCTGTACAAATAAAAGAAAGAAATGATTTCATTTATTTGTAGGCTAAAATTGTCATCCAACAGAAACAATCAAACAAACAAACAAACAAAAATCTTGTCAATTAGAGTGGTTTTCACAAATACAAAATTTTATACTTCCAAACTTCAGTGAATAGAGGATATACATTAGAACACTAGCCATGTGCTTGCTATACTATAAACAAACATCTTTCCTTAGTGTTCACTGTTACACAAGAACAACAGCACTTATCTCACAAGACTGAATCCAAGTTTAAATGGGAAAAATGATGTGAAAATGGTTTAATTTTAAAATGTTCTCTAATGTCTAAACAAAAGAAGCATATAACCTTACATTTTTACATTTCTAATTGTGTTAAAAGTCAGCCTTCTATGGCCCAACCACTGTATGTACTCTTTTCTGTTAATTGCCCAATCCATTGGCATTTCTAGAATGATGGTGAGCCAGGCAGCAACTGGTACTCTGCAGATAGATGCACTTTGTTTAGAAACAAAACCAGGAAATTACCTTTTTTTTTATTCAATCACATATTATTCTGTTACCCATTTTTAACTTTGCTTCTAATTGTACCATTATTATTGTCTTTCAAGGTTTATATTGTTGACACTTTTAGGATGTTTTTCTGTTCATAAGAATCACTGGTACATTTTAGGATGTTTCTCTATTCATAGGAATCGCTGGTGGTGCAGTGGTTATGTGCTCGGCTGCGAACCTTAAGGAGCACTTCCAACCCCCTATGTGTTCCATGAGAGAAAGATGTGGTGAACTGTTTCTCAAAAGATCACAGCATTGGAGACCCCAAACTGCAGTTCTGCCTTGTCCCACAGAGTCACTATAGTGTCTCTGTGACTCAGAACCAACTCGACTGCAATCGGATTGGTTTTTGCTTTTTCTCTATCTTTATGCTCATGAGCCCTGCAGAGTCATTGGGTGCATTTTACAGACATATTCCTGCCCAAAGAAACTTAGTTCATTTCTGTAATATAATTGTTTACAGTGTCTTGAAATAACAACTATGAAACAAATAATTTTGAAAAATGCTGAAATGAAACAAATATTACCCAATAATTACTAATAATACGGTTTATTTAAGCTATTTTTAAAAGAATAAAATCACTATTTCTGCCACAAATTAGTATTTGTTCATTTATTTCCTCTCTGCAGTCAGATTGTTTCTCACTTAGTGGAGTGTGAATGAAGAAGAGTACATGAAAATGAAAATAAAATTAGAGAGGCATCTGTTTCTCAGCCGAGAGCTCCTTGGGGTTACCTAGGCTGTCAGTCTTTGCTGGAGAGGACTGACATATCTTTCTCCTGCAGGTCCCAGCTGCTGGCTTTTGTTTCGCCTTTGAGCCCTTAACCACTGCACCACCAGGGCTCCTTTAAGACACTAAATATGTACAAAAATATATCACTGGAATTATACCCAATGAATCCTAAGATTGTATGCAGCAAAGGATCAGAAAAATGCATCTCTGTCACTGCATCTACTTTTGGGCTTTTCAGGAAAATAGGTTTTGTGTTTTGCTTAAACTTTCCTCATATTCTTACTGATAAGATTTCCACATGCACATGATGGCTCTGATCATATCTGTGGAGCAAAAATGTGATTTATGATGAAGGAATATTTTATACCGGGGCAGGTCCTATCAGAGCAATCACTTACTTCACTTTAGGGTACTGGAGACTTCATAGAGGAAAAAATATGGGGTTTAACCATTTCATCCAACTTCTTCAAGCAGACATTTCTATTAACTAAGCTATAAGGAAATTAGAACTGAGTGTGTTTACAACTCGTTGATTTTGCATTAACAAGAGATAGAAATTAGAAAGAAAAAAAAAAGATTCTGAAGTTTTTAATGAAACATGAGCCACATGAAAGAGTAAAATGAAGTTAGCTCCTCAACTCACATACAGACAGAAAATGTAAAATATCAGATGTTCGTGAGAACAGTACCACAGATATGAAACATAAGAAGAAAGCAATGATGTAAGCTATGTTTTATTATATATGATACTGTTGATATTACATAATAATAATTATTACTATGCATCATTATAAAATCATATTATAAATCACATATTATGTGGAACCTAGGATTTGGGAATTTTGTGTAAATTATTATATGTAATCTTAGAGAGCAAATTTAAAACTAATGTACTGTTATCATGTATATGACAGAGCTGAGGCCCACCTAGATATAGAACTTGAGGAAAGTTATGCATCGCTCCTAACAGTGCGATAATTTATGCCCAAATTTCTATGATTCCACAACCTAAGCTAATACTTGACCATGTTTCAATTCCTTTATTCTGTGACATAATTCTGGAATCATTTTTCTCTAGAAAAACTTGCAAAATAACACCCTCACATATTTTAATTATTTTTTAAATTAATGTAGCTTTAATACACCATATATATTTTTAAATTATAAATCTAAAATGGCCTCTAGAGTAAAATAAAATTAAAATAATCTATCACCTCATTAAAAGGAATTATGATCTCAAAATTGTATATAAATAAATTCTGGTTGAAATCTCATTTTCTCTTCCTTTAATAGCTTTCTTAATTTTTAAATATAGCCTCTTAGTTATTCTGCTCTTATACTGATTGTCATCCATCAGGAAAATTAAAGCAAATTTCTGATGTAAACTTCTATTCACCTAAATAGAATCCATTCTATTTCTTTGCTGTATTATCAGGAAGATTAGGTTTTTAATACAAGTCTGAATAACTAGAATCACCTATTTCAAATTTAATATTAAGTAATACACTCGGTTTGGATTCAAGTTCCTTGTTCCTAAATATTTTATAAGTAATGAAAAATGTTTTCTCTTACCTGTGGAACTGAACTGCTCACTCATTGAAGGTTTGCTTTGAATATTACGTGTGTCGATTTTATGCTAGCTTCTTAAGTTCTTCTTGTAGTGCACAGGATATTCTCCAAGGCATAAATACACTAACTATCTTCTGAAACAGACTGTATATATTTTTGTTGTTGTTGCTTTTTCCAGTAGTGAAGAAGAGAAGGGTCTGGAACAATAACCTAAAGGATGAAAATAATTAAATGCATCACTTTGGCCCGGAGGAAAAATAATCCCTAAGTGGAAAAACATATGGCATAAGATTGGGAAACAAATCTAATGACACAGGACATAGTTCTTGCTCTGAGGCCAATTAGCTATAGGACTTTGGGTTATAAAAACAAATACCATAAAATCTAGTTTGTTTCTTTTGGTAATACAACTTGTTTAATATTCTCAAAATTCTGTAATAAAAAAAATACACACACACATATATACTCACTTAGGCAATATGAAAGGAGTTCTGGTGGTGTAATGCCTAAGGCATTTGGCTGCTAATGAGAAAGGTGGCAGTTCAAACCCACCAGCCACACCACCGAAGGAAGAATGAGCAATCAACATCCTCAAAGATTTACAGCCTCGGAAGCCCAAAGGGGGTCACTATGAGTCGGAATCGACTCAATGGCAATAAGTGAGGCAATATGAAAGCACAATGTGTTAAAATACATAAAAGTTCATACAAATAGCTATGCTTCTCATCTTAATTATAAAATATTAGAGAGCAAAGTGGCAAGATCCAGAAATGTAAGCTCCTTGAGAGTTTGGGGTAAGAGGTATGGGGCAATACTCAGAAAACTATTGTTGTTGGTGTTGTTGTTATGTGCCGTGGAGTCAGTCCGGTCTCATAGTGACCCCTCCTTGGATTTCCAAGCCAGTATCACTATGAAAGTAACTTGCCCAACCTTCCTTCCAAAGAGTGGCTGGTTGGTTTGAACCACCAGCCTTCTGGTTAGCAGTCAAGTGCCTTAGGCACTACACCACCAGAAAACTACAGTATGCTACTTTGCACAAGTTTCCAGGAGGGACCAGTGCCTGGAGAAGGACATTATGCTTTATAAAGTAGATGGCCAGTGAAAAAAAGGAACACCATCAACCAGCTAGGTCGGCACAGTGGCTGCAACAATGGACTCAAGTTACGATAACTGTGAGCATGGAGCAGGACCAGGAGCTGTGTTATTCTCTGTGCATGTGGTCACTATGAGCCGAAAGTGACTTGAGGGCACATGACAACATCAGCAACATAATATTCTTTGTGAAAGAACATTAGAATATCAGAAGTATGACAGAGCTAAAAATCAAACTTTTTGTATTGTTTAGCATCTTTTCTGATCTTGAAAACCCATATACAAATCTATATTACTTAAGCAATCTAAGAAAATACTCAAGAATACATACTTAAGGAACTCTGGACACATTGTAAAAAAAATACGTGAGTATCTGGGCCCCATAACAAGAGATTCTAATTAATACAGAGTAAATGTTGGTCATGAATCTGAATTGAAAGGAGGAATGAAGGAAAGTACAATGACACTGAAAGGAAGCCCAGTTATGACCAATCAATATATTAATTAAATGCAATCCCAAATTGATCTACAGATTTAATGTCATTTCATTTAAAGCTTAATTATTTTTGCAAACAT